TTGTATCCATTGCATTCTTCTTTTATCTTCTATCCATCTGCTCAAGGATAAGCTAATCTATTTCAACCAGTTTTAGTTACACGTCACCACTATCTAGTCTTGGATACTGTATATCAAAACATTTCTTGGCAGTTTGTTCTTCTACTACTCTGCTTTGCCATCCCTTTTCGGGAACCCTTCTATCAGTAGCCCGCTTCAACAGGAGAAAGGTAGGGGATAGTTTCCCAGCATATCATGTCGTTTTGTAGGAGATGGTTTCTGGTACCAGAGGACGGCAAACCATTTTGAATGCCTTCAGTCATAAGCAAAAGTTAAGTGTGATGACTTTAGTCACAGTAAGCCTGCCTAATCAAAACAGGGATTAATGTGTCATTTTCAACGATCAGGATGCCTGCTTGTTTATATATACAAAAAGTTTTCGTATCTAAATATTTCATAGTGGCTTTTCAACTACGAAGTCCTTACATACAGGATTTCTCCATAGCACAGAAAATCCTCATCAATGTGTTGGAAATAACGAGAATGTGCGTAATACAAAACAGAATCTGTGTTTCCTGACCTAGACATCTGCCTGATTAAAGAGACTTTCAGAGGACCAAATCTCCCAATGCATATCATTTACAACTGTTGGACGCCTTGACTCTGAGGAGAAGAGGCAAGAATAACAGAATGCTGGTCAGACAATTTCAGGGTCCACCAATATCTTCCTTCTCAAGTTAGTCAATAAATATGAGATCTTACACTTCAGCTGAAGTCATGCAGAGGTGACTATCACTCCTGTGGCCAGACAAACCCTTCAGGCATGTCTGGATCCACGTTAGTCTTCTTTCATTCATATGAGTCATTTGTGATAACGAAATGTAGACAAGATTAAATTTCTATTCGACGGATATATAACTGGTTGGAAAGCTGTTCTCAAGAAACGGTTAATTATGCTTCAGTCAGACTGGATGCATTAAAGCACGTTCTCCAGGGACTATGCAATATTTAATTCATGATTTAAAAGATGGAACTAGCATTTAATGCTAATGATACTACCTGGGAAAATACTACAAGATAGTATTATGATCTTAAGAAATTATTTAAAGAATTTGGTTCAAAGAATGACATGTAATGACAATAAAGATGAATACTAACTTTTGTGTTTATATAGAAGTAATCTTTTGCATAAACGCAACTGAGGAAGGACTGACTAAGCAACAGTTCTGAACTGGAGACGATCGGTGGATCACAAGTTGCACAGGAGACAACAATGTACCTTTATAAAAGATGTATCTGTTGTACTGGAATACATAGAAAGGAGGATTATTTGTAAAGCATACGAAGTGGTTCTTTTATTCTTCTCGACACTGGAAAAGGCTTCTCTCTGGTTTGGGGCATCACAACTGGAGAAGGATTCTGGCCAACCGGACAGGTTCCAGAAGAGAACAAAAGAATGATCAGAAAGCTAGAAAATGTAACTTGTGAGAAAATGTTGAATAAATAGGGGTTGTTTAATCTGAAGAAGAGGAAACTGAGGAAATACATCTGTCTTCAAATATAGAAGTTAAAAAGAGAGGAAAACAAAGCTTTTTCTGTCTCCACTGCAAAACAAGTTCAGGTCAAATAGCAACAGAAGTTTTCTAACTGTATTTTTGCTCTTAGATAATGAGGCACTGAGACACATTGCCTGGGGAAGTTCTGAAGTCCTCATCATGTTCAAGAACAGGTAAATCAGATATCTGTGAGGGATAGTTTTACGCTGATTCTTCGGGCCAACAGAATGGTCTTGATGACCTTTCATGGTTTCCTCAGCCCCATTTTCTATTAATATCTATTATTATTATATAGTATATAGTATAAATATTATTATATATATTATAGTATATATTATATAGTATACAGTATCTATAATTACAAGTTAGTCAGTAAGGTCTGCTCCTCCCTATTGGTTTAATCCTGATTCCATGGCCAGGGAGGCTGCTGTCCCCTCATTCTGTCTAATTTTATGATTTCCACTTGCGAGTAAGCAAGAGAATCCCTATTGCTGCTCATGATAGGATAGCTGAAGCAGCTGTGGTAGCAAAGAAACATATTTGTTTATCACCAAAATGTCCCAGGACTATGCTTTCCTCTCAATCTGTCACGGCCCTGTGTGCACCAATAGGCCTTGCTGGCCATGACATGTGTCACTTGGGGCCCCTACCCACACCTGTGGGCACAGGAGCCTCAGTTCAGCTCAACCCTAGGCTTTTAGGCCATGCCTGAGCTATGCTGTATGGCTACCGATCTTCAGCTCGGTACAGCCATGCCTCCATGTTACTACAGATCCAGACCCTAACTCACAGACTGACTTCCCAGTTTAACCTCTGACCTGTCTCGTCACTGCGGACCTGCCTGGAGATCAGTGGGCTGTGTCTGATCATGGTTACTCTCACTGGACCTGATCCCAACCTGTGGATTGACATCCCAGCTTGACCTCAGATATGCCTCGTCACCATGAACTCACCTGATGATATGCACTCCTGGTTGAACAAGTCTCAGGTCTGCCCGCTCGCCTCGCTGGGGCACTGTGGGGCTGAGCCCTGGCTGGCGAGGCCCCTGCACTGCCAGCTGTGTTATTGCACTCAGCTCATGGCTACCCTTCACTCAGGGAGCAACCAGCCTTTGCTGCACCCTTGACACAGTCTGCTAATGCAGGACTTTGCAGCCCTCTGCCATGTCAGTTTTGGTATGTCCCACCTCATGCCATAGCTGCTGGATAGGTCTTGTCTCTAGAAGATCTGTGCTTTTCCTTTGGGAGGAACGTTCTTGTCAACAGTATGAAGAGCAGCAAGAGATGCACAAAACTGACAGAATGCGTCAGGATGTCAGGCTGGTGTCAGGTCAGCCTCTCTTACCAGGTGCCACTCACAGTTATCCTGGACTGTTTGCTGGTACCAAAGGAGTTCATTTCCGTCTTTAGCTCTGGTGAGGTTCTTTCCTTGTCACCTCTTCTGCTCTCTCCCTGTATCATATATATGTGTGTGTGTGTGTGTGTATACACACATGTAAATATTTACGTATATTGCAAGTTCCCTGGAGGATGGTTAAACCATTACTCCTGCATATAATCTTCAGGCGTCCACTGACTGAATCAAGTGATTTGCTTATGCCTCAGACCCAGCTGTCCTGGGCTAGTCTTTGGAAGTGTTTTTCCTAGTTATGACTGCATCCAGGAAGCCAGATGAGAGCCAAACCCTTTTTGGATCCAAATGGCTTCCTTCAAGAAAATGTGTCCCTGCACACCTGTCATAAGCTTCTCCTGAACATGGTTTTGGTTTCTTCATCTTATATAGAGGACTGACATACTTCCATTCTTTCTTGAAGGAAGAAATTTCTAGAGGCAGGGCGTCTTTGGACTTTTGTTGTTAAGAGGCCTGACTTTTCACCTCCACAGGACTAGATCTTTCAAATCCAGAGTTGGTTGTGTCAGCAGCTGAGAGGTTGAAAGTCAGGAGTGCCAAGCAGGATAACCACCAGTGAAACCTGTTATGAAAACACCAAAAAGGAGACACCCTCCAAGATTAATACACATTCCACTGGAGCTCAGTCTAAATTAGTGGCTTTCTTGAGTGATATCTCCATTGCTGACATCTGCTGAACTACTACCGGGAGTTCCCTCCACACCTTTACCAAGTGTTTTGCCATTTCAGAAGCATCCAGGTATAATACAGTGTGTGGTAACATGTTTCTGCAGTGGTTGATGCATGAAGCATGCTATGTCTCCCTACCAAGCACTGTGGTTGTTAGGAGGAACTGCAGTATGAATATAAATATGGATAATCTACATTCATAATTTTTGTTTTGAAGATTAAAAAGAGATTTACATATCAGTTAATGAAACTGTCAAAGATGTGCTGTTTATGAGCACACTCCCTTCACACACTCCTTCTCCATGGTGTTTTGAGTCTTTCTTGTAACTTTCAACCTTGGGATTCTGTGATGGAAAAGGAAGTTAGACAGTCTCCACGTTATGTATGCAGCAAAGCCAACAAGCCTGATTGATAGAAAGGAAATGGAATATAAGCTAGTCTGGTGAATACCGCATGGGTATGAAACTATCTGTCTCAGGGTTTTGCGGGACATACAGTGTGCGCATGCGTGTAAGATGTATAGCTAGCTAGATAGATAGATATAGGTATTTGTGAAATTACTTTCCTCTTGCTATTGCAGGTTTCACCTCAGAAAGTAGATCTTAATGCAAGATTGTAAGAGTCCATCCTTCTGAACATGCATATGATAATGCCCACTAATAAATAGATTTTTATTTCTCCTAATAAGGACATTACTTCTTATTATTGCTCTTAATAGAAGAACAGAAGTCAACTTAGATATTGTGATTCCTGAAACAGTGATGAACCATTTCAGCAAAAAGATCAGCCTGTGTGCTCATGCTGTCATAAGGCTTGACATCACTGCTCTTGATTGGACTACTCCTCTTCCAGTAATGCTACTGATTTCAGAAGCAGTATTTGAAGAAAAAGAGGGTACTTCACAGTATGAGAATGGGTGGTACAACTTGGCCTGTAATCCTTTACTGTGAGGTTTCTGGGGGGCGGGGTGGGGGGGGAGAGCATTTATTTCAGAGTAAGAATATTATTGCTGTAGTCTCATATTAACATTGGAAATAATATTTTAGTGAACTATAGGGTACACTGTAGTACACGGCTAGACACACTGGAATGACGTGAAGCTCATCCCATTTGGATTTTTTCCATCTAATTTTATTTTCTGAAGCTACATCCGTTCTTGCACAATCCAGACAGAGCTGCATAAAGTCGTAGCCCCTGACTGCCGGCCTTGCTCTTATGGCTGGCTCTTTTTCAGGGCACAAAAATGAAACGGGAAACTCCTTATGTCCTACCGTGTTGTACGTATGCACATGGACCTATCTATCTTCATTTCACTTTTTCAAACATTTGTTTCTTTCAGTTTGTGAATATTGTGTAATTGTATTCCTTTTTGTTTGTTTCTTTCAGAATGTTCTAATTGTGGAGGTAAGTCGGGTGCTTATGTCATATTATACTTAGATAAAGTCACATAGTCAGGTTGTGATTGTGTGTTCAGTTTCTAAAACCCGTCTGTGTTTACGGGTCTTTAGCTGGGAGGTGGTGAAGAGGAGAGGGGTTGATTTGCTTAATGGCCTCTCAGTCTTTTTGCAGTTGCGTGAGGGATCGAACTACATTGCTGCCGCTCTAATTGGTACTCTGCCGTGTGATACCCAGGAGTCTTTCTTTCTGCGTCATTTGATTTGTTCTTTCCATGGTTTCATCAACTCCTGTTCTGCAAGTTGTTCTGTTCCTTGGAGGACAATGAATCAACTGCAATGATGCCCTGCACTTCTCAGTTGCCTGATTTTGAAATAGCAGCATAGCCCTGCACATGCTTTACAACTTCAGGGTTGTTCACAGGCTGGTTGAGAACGTCAGTCATTCTCTCAAGTCCCCTGACTCCTGCTCCTTAGCACTGCATCCTGCAGCGTCCCCTGGGGAGAGCCCATCACAGATATGTTGCTGATGTAAATCAGCAGTGTTCAGTTGTAGAGGAAAAGAATGTGTCACCTCATTGGTGCTGCAAATTCTCTCTTAATTATTGTAGGTGATTCTCTTTTAAAATGTTGGAAAAGCAACTGGAATGGTTAGAGAGCACGTCAGGATCTGACTGGCATTTCAGGCCCAGCCTGCTTGTGTGGGAAGTAAGCTGGACAGTGTAATGAAGGAAATGTATAAATCTTGGAATGTCTTTTCTTAGCAAAGGAGGGAAAAAAGTCATCAGCCACGGAGATGGCTGGTTACCTGAATAGCTGCTAGGAGCTCCGTATTTGCTAATGCTAACTGCTGTAACAGAAATGAAAAACATCTGCAGCAAATTTTGTTAATGCTATCAGATAGCTGGGGAGCAGAGACAAGGTGTTGCTGATGAAAAATCCACACCCACAGAGTTCAGGATCAACAGCTGCTCTCCGTGTCATGGTCAGTTTTGCAGCCACGTATCTACTGATCTCATTCAGATCAGGTTGGGTACAGCAGTTCTGGAGAACACTCATTTGTACTGGACTAATAAAACAAAAAATAGGGCAGATTTAGCCCTGACATGGAGAGATGTTGACATACTGTTGTCTTGAGCATAATATGAAAAGTCTGATCCCTGCATCCTTGCAGTGCCCAGTCCCGTGTTACATCCCAAGTACTAGAAACAGCTATTTTCAAGAGGAAGTGGACAGTCCTTTAACTGATTATTTTATGAGTAGAAAGTACTTGCCTCGAGGACTGTGAGCTCAGTTATAACCTTTTTTGGATGTGGCTCACAATACACTGGGAGAAATACATCATTTCCACAAAATAAGAAGGTGGAACTGCTCAGTCATTGTCCAGATTTCCTCTTTTCAGCTTTCCTTTGTTTTTTACTTATTCTATTTTTCATGTTTTGTAAGGATATTGTTGGAACTGGAAGGACTATGAAGGTTCTGCTTAATAATATAGAAAAATACAAGCCAAAAATGATTAAAGTGGCAAGGTGAGTAAAATGATCACAAAACTTAGTACTTAATTAGTCTAGCCCAACATATTTTCCACTGGTGGTTCCCATTCCGCGATCCTGCTTTAATTCGGTGCTGCAGTATCGCATGGGGAGCTCTGCGGAGGAGCTGCCTGAGTCACTAAGAGGAGGGTGGAGGAAAGGAGAGGAAATGCTTTTGTATTGTTCTGCAGTGGCAGTGACCCTTCAGCCATTTCAAGACTGGCAGTGATGGACTTTGAAGGGGAACACACCCATCTCTTCCCTGCCATCAGGACGTTGTCGGGAGGAGAAGCAGAACGAGAACAGTGATTCACATGGCTCGGAAGTTTTTTGATAAAGGGAATAGTTTTTATGCATGTTTTTCAGGTAAATATCTAGATTCACATGGGTTTTATTTTGGTTTTAATTACAGTTTGTTGGTGAAAAGAACATCTCGACCTGATGGGTACAGACCAGATTGTAAGTGTTGTTGTGAAAATCTGTACATGACAGTAGAAGAAGTTACCACTATTCTACCACTTGCCTTTCATACCATTCTGTGGCCTGCTAGAAGCATTGCAAAATATCAGTTGTCAATGGGACTGTTTTCTGCAGAGTACTAACTTTATAGGGAAGTTATGAAAGGGTTTAATTTTATCCAGGAAAGGTGAGTATTTTATCTTCTGGCTCTGACAAACTATATGGAAGAGAAAGTCCATTTCTTCCTTTTACCTCCTCATCACATCTCTTTGGAGGAGCTGCAGGATTCCATCTGAACTTGAAAGGTTTTTCGTTGTGACCTAGTTATTCACAAGTTTTACATTTTTATAACAGAATAACACTTTTTATTATTTTTTGAAAAGTATTATTGTTTAAAGGGTAAACAATGATATTATAATTAAATCCCACCCCCCAAAAAGCAAAAGATAAATTGGGCTTTTTAAACTTCCTCCTGCTGCTCTGTTGGTGTCACTCCAGCACCACTTCTCTCTGAATTATTGGTACTTGTACTGTGCTACGATGAAGCCATAAATGGAGCTATACCAAGCTATTGCCATTTTAGACTTCTTAGAATAAATGATGTAATAACAGGTATGTGGCTAAATACTGAAAAGAATAGATCCACCTAGAAGAGATCGACCAGTATTTGCTACTGAAGAAGGCTCTGGTCAGCTGAGCTGGGGAGGAGGGTAGAAGGAGAGTAGGCAGGTGAGTACCAGGAGGCAGCATGAAGGGTCTTGGTTTGGGATGTGGGAGAGAGGGAAACTTAATGAAGCAAAAGTTACTCAATGTTGGGCCTGGCCCTGCGGTTTTAGGCCAATAATCTGAACTGTGACCCAAGCATTTTGTTGTACAACTTTTTATACAGTGGTATTTTTAACATTTAGAACTTAATCCAGTAAGTTAAAGTATGTATTTGACTGGATTCACTAATGTTAAACATATAAAAAACACAATCAAATTACTTCATGAAGGGTAGCTTAATATTTTTATGTAATAACTTGTAAAATGAAACAGGTTTTATCCTTGTTTATTCATACTGTCATGAATTTTATAAAGCATCGGAGATCTCTCCTGTAAATCACTGACAGTGCTGTGTCATTTCCTCACTTACCCAAATTTATGATTCCAAAGTGTCTTATTACCCACAATTTTTAACAATTGAATAAATTCCTTACTTGAATACCTGTAAATTTTTTTTATGCTGACCTATTTTTGTGTCAATAAGGTGGTGTTTTTCTCCAGCTACTCAGTGAACAATTTGGAAGGAGTCTAACTTGTTTTATATAGTGCTGATACTGCACAGACCTTCACACGCAAAAAGACACATGCCTATGCTTAGCTTCAAGCATGTGAGTTGTATGGTTCAGCTACACTGCGCGCATTTACTTTGTTAAGCATGTGCATGAGTCTTCATAAGGTTGGGGCTTTAATTTAAGAAGCATTTGACATGTTTTGGTAGCATAATATGCAAAATAGTTTTTGCTGTTCTCAGAAGAAAATATATAAATCTCTGAAAGTTACTTCTGAATTAAAATTGTACATTTTTTTCATCATTAGTGTGATACTGGACAGTTGTCATCACACACGTATAGCAATGGAGCTGCCAAACGTAGGCAGAATTTTTCAGCTCTGATTTTGGCTTCCTTCCACAATGTGTCTGTTGTGCCAGTCATGATTGTACACAGCTCTCCTACTCTCCACCGACTATTCACATCCCTGTCACAAATAGTCTGCGAGCGGGAACTGGTTATAGGGCTACTGCCGACCTTGATATCTCAGAGTCAGAAGTAACATAACCTCAACTGACTACATCTATGTATAGTTTGCTTGTCAGACAACCAACACATGAATTTAAGGGCTATATAATTGCCACTGATCTTGTATCGATGGTGTTTGTTATTTGTCTCAATACAGATTACGGATTTGAAATTCCAGATTTATTTGTGGTAGGTTATGCCTTAGACTACAACGAGCACTTCAGAGATCTAAACGTAAGTTTCTTTAAAAAAAATAGTTAAAAACCCCACTGCTTTACTTTTCCAGGGTGTCTCAAATACCCCATAATTTGCCTCCTCCCTGGGGCCTTAATGTCATGGTTGGGATCCTTTCAGTGAGTGTAGAACTCCCTGCAAAACCTCAAATAATCCAAAGCAGTCACTGCTTTGCGCTGTGAACGGTTCCTTCCCATCTCTTCCCCGTAAGGGCAGAAGTCATACCTCTGCTACACTTCCAACTTCTGCGAGCCTAGGACTTCGCAGGTCCACCATTCCCAGAACGTGCAGAGACAGCAGTAAAAAGTGACACACAGCTACAGTGCAGACAGGTTTGGACTTTCACCGCTATGTTGCCTGCCCCTGTTCTCAGCGAGATAATGATGGACGAAAGGGGCGAGCCTTGCCTTTGCTTCCTGTGGTACTCCCAGGGGTGGACCTCAAAGCTGGGAATTGCAAGTGGGGAAACTTGCTGTAGCTAGAAAGTGAAATCAGAATTCCGTTCCAGGTCTCTGGAAAGGGAGGGGTAATTACAAGATCACTGGATTGGTCAAGCAGAAGTATTTCTGAACAATTCATTAATAATTAATAATGTAATCAACTATGCTGTTGCAATCAGTGGTGTTTTTTTTTCAGCACATATGTGTTATCAATGATCATGGCAAAGCAAAATACAGAGTCTGAAGCAGTCACATCCTCACCTGAAGATTCGTAAGCTCGGTGAAGCAGAAATTTGACTACACTCCCTCA